CCACAAAATATGTGTTTTATGCCCCCCTGTTCCTTTGCCAAACGTAGCCATTTAGATGCCACGTCCAGATAATTTGTACCATTTTGTAACGTTGCTCGACTCCCTATGGCAACCCCACTGCTATATGTCACGTATTAGTCCGACACATGCTGAAATTCACAAGATATATTGAATTTCAATCAAGGTTTGGCGTCAAAATTCAAGACGAGATCACGGTGAATTTTTCTTGAAAGTTCACGAGTTCAGTCGTAGGTCAAAACGATATTCCGTTTGAACATGCCATGTTTGACTTCAGCAAGCACTTGGGCTCAAGGACCAAAATTCCATAAAACTTTTCTTGTATCCGAAACGACATGAAACTTCAATGGGCCATGTTGAAGCTATCCATTGTGTTGTGGATTTTTGGAGAATCTTTAGCATCGTGAAACGGAGGCGTAATAATACTTCCATTTGGACAGAGACTCACATTTTCATCCATGCCAAAATGGCTCTCCCCAATTCCGTAAGAAAAACGAAAAACAAACACGATTACACGATTCTTGCAAGATTGGAAAAATTTTGAAAGAGATATGTTTTGACCCGTGGTGATTTTCCACATTCGTTTTGTCATAAATATGAACATTAAACACCCTTTCCCATGGTTTCAAGTTATTTTGGGAGTGTTCATCGCTACTCGGGTTGGTGTTCTTGAAGTTAGAATTCGTGGCAGTATTCGCACAGAACAAACAGTAGTAGGAGGCGTTATGATCGAAGGGTGGGTATTGTTTGGAAAAATGGATATGGACGTTACAATTGTTGGTATGATATGTACAGTTATAATATATATTCGTATGAGGGATTGTTGACGTTTTTTTGCTAGTACGTGCATGTAGGGATAACACGTTCAAGGTTGGTATGGGGAAACATTTCCTTGGAACTAGCACTGATAATACTGGGAACGGTATCAATACTAGCATGTGTTACTAGCAGTATGAGGGTTAACAGTCATATTAGGATACGGGTTCATAAACTCACAAATATTGATAACATAGCAATAGGTTGGGCATATGGGCTTTGATTCCCTCAGCGCGCGTTAAGCCAAATTTGGTTTTGCTGCACTGCAGATGGAAGAGCGGTCTTTTTGATTCCAATTAGTTCAAATTCTCAGTTTTTGCATTCGCTAAATTTGAAAGCATGTCCTTCGAATTGGTTGGCAGCTTCGGGGTTAAACTTGTATTTGTAACCTTTTGGCTTGGGCTGTGTGTAGTACAACATGGTACTTCTACATTACTGCAGGAGTTGTACTCCAATTTTATGGAAACATGGAAAACTTGTTGCAGATATCTGTTATGCTAGAGACCAGACGTGGGAAGATGAATATGTATTTTCGTTTGGCTGTCAGGAGTACTGTTAGGGGACGTATTGGATTTGAAAATCAGTACCATTCTCAGGACATAACAAATATCAGTAGCATGGATCATGAGGGTAGGATGGATACTGTGAGGGCAGCATGAGCATGAGTATTACAATTTTTGCTGGGACCCGCCGAGGATTTCAGATGATAGTAGTTGCAAGGGTTTCCAAGCACGGGCAGGAAACAGGAGACATACCGAGCTTTAAAAGGGCAATCCAGTTTTGTAGGCATAGGGGGGTTCGGAAGACTTGAATGCTCGATGAAGAGAACACACAAAAATCTAGTGCAGCAGTCACACCATGCACCGCAACAACAACATTAACAACAGAGAATAAGCGCAACATATGATCAATGTTTTCCATGTATGTAGGAAGCGGAAACGCAAAAGCAAAATGGACGGCAAACCCTAAACCCCAAACCCTAAACCCCTAAACCCCTAAACCCTAAACCCTAAACATCTGAAAATATATGCATGTGCGGAGTTCTTCCGGGTCCATGTTGGGGACCAGATTTTGAATTGTCGGCAGCGGCATTGGTTTTCCGCTCCGCCTGTCGAGGACTTGAAAGCCCAGGAAGCGGATGTCTTGAAGAAGGCACCTGTCATCGCTACCCTCAAAGTTTCAGTAGGGTGTATGGTTTAGGGTTTGGGGTTTAGACATTGAAATTTTAGGGTTGCGGTGCCATACTTCAAGTAAGGTTTAGGGTTCAGGGTTGGGGTGTTATAGTTTCAGGTTTAGGTTTTGAGGTCTCGCAGTTTTGGATTTAGGGTTTAGGATTTGGAGGTGAGTATTCCGCTATGCTGAGAGTTGTTTCTACATCTAATAAAATGGTTTTGCCAATGTTGTCTTTGTTTCCAGATTTTCTGTGTGCATTAATATGCATATATGCACACACGAGGACATGCATTGCTTTGCTGATGTTGATACTACTGTTAAGCAGCGGGTGGGCTCAGGATTGCAACGACCAGGAGAGTTTGGTCAGCTCACCCCGCAAAATAAAGACCCTATTTACCCAACGTCCTACACAGCCCGTATAATCTTGCATAACCCTACACAACCGTATAATCCTACATACTCCTATAGCATCCTATACAGCCCTAGATCATCCTATATAAGCCCATAGCTCCAAAAACCTCACGTTTGGCACTCTTCGGGAGCTTGAGGCAGAAGCACGCAAAACGAGCTTATCCGATTTCGGTGCCCATCCCAGCGGACATGGGGAAGAGGCTAAAGGTTTTTAGGGGTTTCGGGGGTAGGGCTTACTGGGCTTAGAGGTTGTTTAGGGGTTATGGCTTAGGGGTTTACTGGTTGTATAGGGGTTAAGGGTTTCGGAATTTTGTTCCTCTGCATATGCTATATCTATATACACACAGTTACTTACGTATTTGCAGACATGTGTACTCACGTATGAAGACCATTCTAAGATACGGAGGACCAAGCAAAGGGAAGCCATAAAATTTCTGAATATTCTTTACCATTCCTCAGTATTTATTCCTCATCTAGCCTGGCAATGCCTCTAACCGCCCTGTTGATCCCCACATACAGAAACCCCAATCATGTATGACCCTTCTCATCCCTGTTGTGAATTCTATGAGCCCATCCATGACCTTCATTCGCTCCGCCGAAAATGAACCCTAAACCCCCCAACTGCAAACCACTAAAAGCTGAATCCCCGAAACCCCCTCAAACCCCCTAAACCCCTCGACCCTAAACCCTAAACCGTAAACCCTAAACCAGAACCTCCAAACCCACGACGCCTGTTAAGATGGCACTGACATGTCTCAGGTGACAAGCCCGTTGAGGCATCCACTTTGCTTACAGCAGCCTGCAGGGTCAGTGAAGGTTGTCAATAAGGTTTAGGGTTTACGATTCAGGCGCATAGGGGTTCGGTTTCAGGGTTTAGTTTTATGGGGCCCGGGGTCTTGGGCTGTGGGGGGGGTAATTCTTTGCTGGGGGATGGGGCCAGGGCAGGGCATTTTTAGGGGTTCAGGGCCCTGGTTTTGGATTCCGAAAGAAAATCAGCTTGCTTCGCAAGCATCCGTACAGAAAGACTTCCAACAATGGCTTGTTGAGAAGGACTGTTGTCTACGCTATCGCAGCAAGGAAACCACATTATTCGGTAATATGTCTATCTTCTAGCAACTTAGCTTAAGTTACAAAACTAAAGTCCCCTATAACCCCGGTCGTTCATTGATCTTCCCGTTTTCTTCTGCATTTGATTCTGTGCCAAGTGCACGGCTTCTTCCGTCCACAAAGGAAATCGCATGAGGGCACCGTGACTAATAAGTAGGCAACATCTTTTGTCATTGTTAAATCGTAATTTGAACAGTTTCAGTAACAATTATAGAAAACAATGCAAGGAATACTCATACGGATAGTCTAGTAAACATGGCACTGCTGGTACTGAAGATTACCCGCACCCCACCTACCAGCATCAGCATCTCAAAAGGCAAACTAAATTCCTAAGCCCAAAGCCATCTGAATGCACCGGCGCGGGAAGCCATGGTGGTGTTGAGCATCCAAACCTTAAGCGGCGCGGCCTTTGAGCACGAAGCCGACCTCTGCTTCGCAATCCAGGGTGTAGGGTTTCGGGTATAGTGTGTAGGGTATAGGGTTTAGGGTAGAAGGTTTTGGGTTTAGGATAGAGGGTTCAGGGTTTGGGATATAGGGTTTAGGGAAGCTCATGGGAATACCAGTGATGCTATATATGGGAGATTATATAAGGGTTACAGGGATTACATAGACTAACCCGCAGCACAAGCACCCTAGGACCATCACATTACTCTTATAAGGTTCCTGAACATAAAGGTAGGTGTTATCAAATCATCCTATCGCCCTAATGACAAACCCTCCACCCCTTAGTAATAAGTGCTGCCAATACAGTACCTTCATCTACTGGGGGAAACATTTCTTGTTCGGGGTTGGGGAGGTTGGCATTTGGGGGGGGGGGGGGGGGGTGCGGATTTTCACTGATACCAAGAATCCTGTATGAGCAAATTATGTGGCATTATCACAAATCCCAAGGTCATGCAGGACTTTGCGTATTAACAGAGCCCATTTGATTGTTCACGGCTTACTCAACTTATCAAGCAGCCAGAATGATAATGTTAGGTCCATTTTTTGAAGGTGGTCACAGTAACAACCTTTCCCCAGGTCAAGCCAAGTGAAAACAGGTGAATTGTTATTCAGTTTCAGTTGCAATGCCTTTGAGAAACCATTCATTTTCCTACGCCACAGGGTGTTATACTTCCAAAAAGGAGCCCTATAACAAAAACTAAGAACAAAGAAGCTCAACAACTTAGACCGCCAAACCTCTACACACAGATTTTTCTAGAAGCCATCATCATGGGAGTTTAGGAGGTGCAGGCAGGGCCTACGGTTTTCAAGTCTGGGCCAGCCCCATACTTTTTGTGGTTTTCAGTTTTAAGTAAAAGGTTGAGCCGTCATCCTCAACAGCTTCATGCATTACTCAGTCAGGGTGATCAAAGTGCAGGAAAGCTTCAACACTGCTATAGATTTCGCGTTATGGACCCTCAGGATTCCCATAGAATTCCCGGTGCATCCTTAGGGTCCTAGGCGCCCCCAATCTGAGGGAATTCCAGTGCCAGGACGATGGTGCAACGCTGCAAGATTTGTCCGAGNNCGAGGCCCTCGAGGCAAGGATTGGCGTCTCAGCAGGAAAAAAGTTGGTGCTGATGTCTGGTGAGAGCACCTTGGATGAGCGTGGGCTCTCCGTGGGACACCTTCCGAAAGCGCCGATTACGTATGTCATCCAGCAGGTTGGCGCCGGACGCGCATCATGGAGTTTGACACGGATATTAATCATATTGCGCCGTCAGGAAACTGTGCCTACGCTGGCCGAAGTAGGAGACCTCAAAGCAATTTCTGCGGTTACTTTCGGGCACACGTTCAACCAGAGTCTGGAAGGTGTCACGCTGCTAGCTAACCTGCAGACATTGACATTTGGAGACGATTTCAACCAGAGTCTGGAAGGTGTCGCGTGGCCAGCTAACCTGCAGAATTTGACATTTGGCTACAGTTTCAACCAGAGTCTGGAAGGTGTCACGTTGCCAGCTAAGCTGCAGACATTGATATTTGGCTACAGTTTTAGACAGAGTCTGGAAGGTGTCACGTTACCAGCTCATCTGCAGAATTTGACATTTGGCTTCTATTTCAACCAGAGTCTGGAAGGTGTCACGTTGCCAGCCAACCTGCAGAGCTTGTCATTTGGCGGCTCTTCCAACCAGAGTCTGGCAGGTGTCACGTTGCCAGCCAACCTGCAGACAT